CATCTGGCCAACGGTGCGTCCGACGCCAACGGCACCAACTTGTTATCGGACAAAAGAGGCTGAACGAAGTACGTGCGACTACCCGTTATCAAATGAGAAACATCTAGGCCCAATTTCATGAACTGAGCTTCCATGTCCATTCCTTGGACCTGCACATCGTCTGCCAAGAGACCCAGATGCAGAGATGGGTAGACCCGCAAGGCAACATCAATCTCAGGGACCAACATGATGCGCATGGAGCGGTCCGCGAACGAGCAACCTGCAACGATGGTGAGATCTGCAGACGTACACTTGCCCACGACAAGACGGGATGGGATAACCCTGGGGGTCGAAACAGCCCCAGAAGAAAAACAAAAAACTCTAAGTAAAGCTGGGTTGAAAGCAAACCCACTAAAGCTCTTTGGATCAGGAGGCGGTGTCGAACCTGCTCAAAGGCATTCTTGATGCCAAAAAGAAGGGCGGACACTTTTAGACTACGCGAGGCCAGGACACTCATTCGCCACACGCACTGCTGGCGTGTATGATTGCGCACACCGTATATCTATGAACGAAGATGTTGACGAACCCGCATTACGCCATACGTGTGCCTGAAATGCCGTGCGAACGCGCGTATACATCTGGTGAACAGAGCAACCGTGCTTTCACCTTCGTCACGTTTAGGTAGCAGGCTTATCTAGCACAAACAGAGCAAGAATCAACGGAAGCCGACCCTGACGAAGTATTGCAGACCCCAGTATAAATACCGATTTCAAGGCTGCTTCAGATAACCATGCATGGTGTCGTGGGTGGGTCCATTGAAGTCGAACTGACGTGTGTGCGCGGTACTGGCTACACATATTACGTGATCTCTATGTGGACACGCAATGGCAAAATCGCAATATGTTCAGCCAATACGAGGGGTAAGTATAAGCCCACACAACGATCATCGTCCTGTTCCTGTGGATCCATTTGCTGCCGCATACAATACCAGAGCTGCTCTCTAGCCTTCTGACCGCGCTTGTGAAGACTCGGGAACCTTGTTTGCTCGAATGTCTACTCTCCACTCTCTCTGTGGTCGACTCCGTTCGCAACTCTCTGACCCCTCTAAATTTTACAACCAATGTCCTGAACCACTCTTGGCCACAACCAAAACCTCCCCAAACCAAGAACCTGACCACTGCCAAGAACCACGGATATGGGAACACGGTCGCCGAACGCCGGAACTCAACACTGGAACCCCTGGAACCCGACCTTCTACTGACACCGGTGCAATACATGTGGCCTACTCTTTCAACATCCGCTGGAATCCCTTGAGTGGAACTCGCCATCGCTCGGACGTTCATTCCCTGTTTTTTTTGGTTTTGTGCGTGGTCTTTTCGCCAAATGATCAAGGATGCTCCTCGATGGCCCTCGCCGAAGGAAAAATGCACACGTCCGAGCGATGCCACGGGAAGCACGTGAGGAAACTAGGCGGCGCATTTGCGAAGACCTGATGGATAGTCACTCAGAAACCTCGCAAGAGAAATCTATGCGGGGATCATGCGCGCGCCGCCGCGCTCGCATGTGAAACCATGGAGTTGCCAGATTTCTGCGGGCGCACTCGCTCCAATTTCAAGGTGTCCCAAAAGTTCTTGCTTCCCGCATTCGGTCACATGATAATCATTCGGGCCACATGCGCGCGAGCACGCCGAGAACGTTCAACAACCAACGCCCGCCCACCAATTCTGTCAAGCACTACCATGCGGGCCACACGTGCGCGTCTCCGCGGGCGCACTTCGGAATCACTTCGAAAAACCTTGTCCCCCCAGCATTTCAAAACAAATGTGTTCGCACACGTGCGAAAGTGCGATGCCTATTTGTTTTCGAAGAGGGTCCGGACTTTTGAAATTCTGCGAGCGCGCATGTCTCCATCAACCTCATCAACAAGATGCCATCATCATTGCCATCGACATCGTAATCATCATCATGATCGCCGTCGCCATCATCACTGCAACCGTCATTATCGTCATCGCCGATGTTGTCGCGCTCGTCAAGCGTCTGCGCGCATGCACTTCCTCGTCATCCTCGTCAACATCATTGTTATCATCATCACAACCGTCATTAGGGTCACCATCAGCTTCATCACCATCGTCGTCGCCGTGATCGTCACCACCATCGCCACGAACATCATCATCGTCATCGTCGTTGTCGCTGCCTGGTTGAGTTTGGCAACCATCTACAAATTGGTGGGTGGGGTGTATGCGCGGGCATTGGAGGCGGTCACGTGCAGATGCGGTCAGATGAATCGTATGTTTTATACGCCGTTGATGGCACCAGTTAGCGTGCACCCCATAGCTTGCACCACATCTAGGCATACTATACACTTGGGCGCCACACATTGCAACGCATATGTAGGACGCACCACACCATTGGTTCAATGACATAGCTCGCGCCACTTATCTGCGTAACTCAAAATACATATATTTATATATACACACCTCACAGACTGCACAGCAACGCCTGCACTATCAAGCTTGAGCAATATCTAGATAAGCGCCCAATCACCTATACATCACTACATCGACTGCGCTGCACAACATGTCTTGCAAGACGTCGGCTGCAACCCATGGGCTGCACCGAGCAGCTTGCACCTCACAGATTGCGAAAGCATTGCTTGCGCGGCACAGCTTGCACGACACCAGCTGCATGGCACCCATGGCGCCGCACGTGTTGCACCACATGCTCCGCACACCCGGAGTCCAAGAGCCCACTGGGCGGGGGGGGGGGAGGCCGTTGGCAAACAGATTCGCTTCGGCGTTCCTGCCCTGATCTCTGCCGTGGGCGGAGCGCGACGGGCGCCCCTGGTACGGTCGCATCCTCGAGCCAACTTAGAGAACGTCGCTCGGTGGCCCCATGACCCGAGACGTACAACCCAGAAGAGTATCTCGGCGCACCTGTTGGGAAAACGAGCTGGCCCAGCCCCGGATTCCTGGATGCGAGCATGGCGCAACCGCGGGCACGATGCACCTTACCAGCACAGGCACGGTGCACCTCGCAGAATGGGCGTCTGGCGTGGCTGGGGGGTGGTGCTTGCTGGACGCCCCCGTCCCATCCCATCCCGCCCGCGGACACGAACGTTCACCGCCTCCTGCTTCCCAGAGGCATTGGTGACGATCTGAGCGCGGCGAGTGGGAGGAGGAGCGAAGGACCAGTTGGCTGAGCTGTGAGCGGCAGGAAGAGCCAGACAGGGAGGGTTAAGAGCAGGAAGAGGGTGGTCGGATTGGGGGGAGGCAGGCACGATGGGGTGAAGGACAAAGGCAACAGTTATTGCGGCCATAGGGAGTAGGGCAGAGATAAGCCAACACGCAAACTGTTCACGTGCTTGCCACGCAGTGCCTGGGCGCACCGACACCGAGGCAAATGAGACCCAGAACTACTGACAGCATTGCGGCGGCAAGCCGGCAATCGTCCATGCTGAGACTGGGCCGGTACATTCCTACGCACACGTGGACCTCTGGGGCAAAGCAAACATCGTCGAGAGCACGCGGGAAGGGCTAGCAAACGAAGCCTCACGGTGTGGACATAAACTGTCGCAGGTCCGCGCGGAGCTGTCGGGGAGGCGAGAGGCCCTGCTGCCCTGGCGCGCGAAGCGCGGCAGGGGCGGTCCCGCGCCGCCAAGGGGGGCCCAGCGCAGACGCAAGGGATGCGTGTGGGCCTCGGAACGTACACGTTCATGCAAATGTTCGCTCCCCGCGCCAGGGGCGGAAGTGCAGAAGGGGCAACTCCCGAGGCCATGGTCTGTCGTCAGTGAGCAAGCCTGCGGTCCAAGCCTTGCGACATCAAGGTCACGTTCGCTCATCCACAGCCCCTCCGTAATCCTTATCCTCGTCCTTCTCGTCCTCCTCCTCCTCCTCATCTTCCTCCTTCTTCCCCCCCTCCTCCCACACCTATCCTCCTCCTCCTCCTCCTCCTCCTCCTCCTCCTCCTCCTTCCCCTCCTCCTCCTCCTCCTCCCTCCTCTCCCGCTCGCTCATCATCCTGCTCATCCTCCTCCCACCCACTCCCCTTCCCCTCACACTCCTCCTCTGCATCCTCCTCATACCCCCTCCTGCGGGGAGCTAGGGACGAAGATCCCGACCACCTTCATTTCTGGAAGTTGGTTGCAGTGCGGGGCTGCAGCCCGGGCGATGTGTCCACAATTTCTTGAGCCGCCAGGTGGACTTCACTCCACGAAGCTCATCCCAGTGCAAGACAGCACTTGACGGTTCAACAGTTGCTTTGGGCACATGGCACAAGCCAAATCCACTAAGACCACTGCAATGCCCTCTCAAGTGCGCTGATAGTGCGCTCCTACGCGGCGGTGGTATCAACAAAGACTGCCATGGCGCCGGCTTGCGGCAAGGCGATCGGAACAGACGGACGACCACGAGGAGGGATCATGGGAGCCGCACGGGGAGCAGAGGATACTGATGAGGAGCATGAGGTGGAGGAGGACAAAACAACGAGGAAGAGTACGATTGGGAGGAACGCGTCGCCTGGATGAGGGTGAGAGTGAGGAGGAAAAAGATGGACAGGGGTAGGAGAAGGGTAATGAACAAGACGAGAAGGAGTGATGAGGGTTGTAAGGGGGATCGCTCGAATAGAAATGCAGTGGCGAGGAGGATTATGCGAATGGCAATGCAGGATGACGGCGATGACACTGAGTACGCGCTGATCAGACGCAACACCACGTTGTGATATGGAAGATACCAAGAAACCCATCTTAATATATGTGGAATAGCAATGAGGAAGGCGAGGAGAAAGGAGGTGAGATGAGGAGCCGGCAAGGTCGTAGACACAACAAAACCCCCCACCTCTGGATACGGGGGGAGACAAAGAAAGGTAGAGGAGAGGGATGCGGAAGGGGACAAGGAGGAGGACGATGAGGTAAACGAGGACGAGGATGAGGTGAGGATCGGAGTTCAAGCGGGACCCACCCACACAGCCCTGGCCTCGAAGTCGACCTGGTCTCCTTGGCGCAGCCCGTGCAGGTGCGGGTTTGACCTCGCTCGGGCCGTTGCCAGCGCGCGCCGCAGCGCAGCGTGACTGGGGAGAGGGTGACCAAGATGGGCGGGATGGAGGGGCAACACCAGCAGCAGCAGCAGCAGGGCAGCCATGACGAAGATGGGTGACTCCGAAGACAATAGCCACGATGGGAACAACGGCAACGACGGCACGGACGAAGAAGAAGGCGGCCAGTCCACCTGCCAGCGCAAGGCATGGACCCCAGCTTGGGTCCATGTACAACTCGGAGCTTTCATCGTCTCGTAAAGTGCTAGACGACGCTCAGATGCGCATGTGCCGTCTCCTGCTGCAACCTAGCCTTCCTGGCACATGGAATAAGACGGCGTCTAGGAGAAGAGGGAAGAGGAGGGGCAGTGAGGCCACCCAATGGAAGGCAAGGGATGGCAGCGGGAGGAACGGGCAACGATGCTGCAATAGGGAGGAGCGGGCAACGATGCTGCAATACACCCTCCCGTCCCACATCCCATGCCCCCTCTCACAAGGCCCTAACAAGCCTTCCATTAAAGTGCAAGACGCGACCCCATGAAAGGCCAGCACCCGATGGGCATGCCTTTCTGGCAGCATGCTTGAGAATATTCAAACATTCAAACAAATATGATCACACAAGTCAACGAGGTGTCCAGCGAACCAGTATATGTAACCATTGCACGTGTTACAAGTCTGGTGAAGAATCCTGAGGCGGTATGCAGCGAGAGCCACATCTTCGCGTAATCAACGCTTGCAATGACGGTGCACTAGCGGATACTAAAATCCAAATATCAACTCGGGCCTTTTTGGGGCTGGTGCCGGGCTCCCGGTTCTAGGTTCCAAGGCCGATTTCGGTGGTCGGCTGGGTTCCCGGGACCCTGGGTCTGAAGTTCCCGGCAATAGAAGGTGCCCTAGTCCTCGGTCTCTGGGCTGCGGCCAAACACCTCGGTCCTTTCGGCCACGGCTACAACGATACACTAGGTCGTAGAGAGTGACGAGCACACAGCAGATCGCAAATAACATAATCGAGCAGCGACAGAAACAGAGCGAGAGAGAAAACGAGAGGCACACACAACATGTAGAGAGAGAGAGAGTATGCAGCGTATTCAACACACAAACATATTTTTTGTTTGCAACGTTGACGTATGGAATGTATAGAGAAAGAGAGAGAGAGAGAGAGAGAGAGAGGAAACACAAACAATCGGCACATACAATCAGAGGGGTAATGACAGAAAGAGAGAGAGTGCAGTAGAGGGAGAAGAAGGAGAGAGAGAAAGAGAGAGAGAGAAACTGTATACTTACTGGACTAAAGATTTACACCGGAATTGAGAAACCGACAGAGAGACACAGAAAACCATCGAGAGAAAAAAAAGACAACAACCGAACACAACAACAACACTCAGGTTAACAATATTCGCTCGTATTTGCTCGCGTGCATCCCACGCCCTCGGTACCCACCCTCTTCGTCTTGAATTATACCCCCTTGGGGGTATATCTTTCTATCCTGCAGCGTGTATTTCATGCAGCGCATACGACAGGGGAAGAGAGGACAGATGGAAGAAAGGGACAAGGGGGAAGGAGGAGCCTGGAGCAAAAGAGCGAGAGAGTAGCAGGAAGTGTGCTAGAAACAAAACGCACGTGGCAGAACCAGACGGGCAGATCGGGCGGGTAGACCCTAACAGGCGGGTCGGAAAGGCGGGCCCGGGCGGCCAGGTCGAGCAGGCGGGTTGCTGAAGCGTGCGTCTTGCACGATCGCGAGGAAGTCTCAAGCGACGGCGCTATTCTCAAATTCGCCAGCCCAACGGGCCAAAGGCGTACTAAGATCTCTGGTGACTGGTTAACAATTTTAATCCGCGCGCGCAGGGCCGCCCCTGCGGGTCCCCGGACGACAAATACCCCAGCAAGGTCCCGGCAAATTCTGGCAAGGTCCTGGCAAAGTCCCGACAAGTTCCGGCAAAATCACGGCAAGGTCCCGGGCAGATCCCGGCCAGGTCGCAGCAGGCTCCTAAGGGCGTTCTAGGAATGCTTCAACTGGCCTCCAAGAGAGCTCAACATGGCCCAAGACGGCCCAAAAACGATCCAAGACGCCAAAGATGGCCTCCAGACGGCCCAGAGCGCCTGCAAGACGCCCCCAGAGGCCTCCAAGAGACCTCTCAAGGGGGCCCACAGAAGCAAAAATTAATAATTCTGCTGCAGTTTTGAAGGTTTTTGGCGTTCTCGCCGCGGGGGCTTACCGGGGCTCCAAGACGGCCCAAGAGGCTTCCAGGATCGCCCCAGCGCAACCCAAGAGGCCTACAAGAGCGCCCAAAACGATCCCAGAGGGCCCCAAGACAGCCCTAAAGGCTTCCAGGATGGCCGAAGAGGCTCCCAAGTCGGCTCCGAGAGCGGGCCCAGACGGGGGACCCGAACGGACATTTCGAGCTCTACGCGCAGAGAGGCCCCATGGAGGCTCCCCAAAAGCCCCCAAGAAGCCCCGAAGAGGCCCCCGAGAGGCCCAAGAGGCCCCCAAGAACCCCCTGAGAGGCCCCAAGAGACCCCCACGGGGCCCCCAAGAAGCCCCCAAGACGCGCACAGCCGACGACCACTCGGCCAGTCGACCGCGGTGCGCATTATGGGCCGGCGGAATGAGCGAAGCGATCCGCCGCCCCACCGGGAACGGCGCGTGAGATCCCGGCCGCATGGTCTGCACGAACTCAGTCCCCTCAATCTGCGCGCGCACGAACTCCTCGTACCAATACCCATTCCTCAGAGCCCCCTTGCAACCCCTCCTGGGGTCCTCCCCGCGGCCTGCTCATTCCGCCGGCCGGGGGCCACAGCTGCGGAATGAGCGCTCTTTGGCCATCATTTTCGCTTCAGAACACACCTCGTTGGAAACGTTCGCCTTCAAGGCGCCGCCGGCCTCTCTCAGAGGCCTCTCTGGGAGCCCACTGACTCGATTTTGGAGGCCTCCAGACGCTCTCCTGGGGCGATCTTGGCCGTCCTCCAGGCCATTTTGGTTCAGTCTGGCAGCCCGCCCACCTCTCCTCGGCCCACTTCGGCTACAAAAAAGCAACACGCAAACAACCGTGCAAAACACGTCTGAGTATGTCCATTTTGGCCTTGTCGAGCCTCTATTCTTGCCTCGTTTCGAGCTCACGTGCGTCTTCGCGGGCTCTTGGAAGCACGTGGGAATCAGCGGGCGCTCTCTGCGGCTGTCCTCCACGCCTCCCGACCCTGGCCTGGGCCGTCTGGCAGCATTTTTGGAGTTTTCTTGGGCCGTCCTGGGCGCGCCCAGGGGGTCCCGGGAGTCCCTTTTGAGGCCCCCAAACTAACTCGGATCTCGTTTGTACGCGTCTCCGTATGCCTTTTCCTTTCGTCCACACTTCTGCACACCCTCAGGCGTCCAATTAAATCATTATCAAACTCCCTTATGGCTTTCTGGCGTATTTTTAAATGATTTTCCGGCTCTCTTGGGGCTTTCTGACGAGAGCCTAAGACCCCACTTTCGTATTTTTCCAGGCTCTCTGAGACCTTATTGTCCAATCTGGCGTTTTTTTTTTGTTTTCATTTTCTGGCTCTCTTGGGGCTTTCTGAAAGTATTTAAGACCCCACTTTCGTATCTTTCCAGGCCCTCTGAGACCTTATTGTCCAAAAATACTGGTGGGGAGCCTTCCGTACTGTCGTACCAACCCGGGTCTTCTGGCACCCTCTTGTCCAAGAATACCGGGCCGGAGCCTTGAATCCTTCCGCACCCTCACATCACACAGCCTGGCGCGCGCACGCTCCCAACAGACACCAGCCGGAGGCGCGGGTGAGAGGAGGTACACACCCACAGCACGAAGAGATTACTGACAAAGCCCAGCCAAAGCTGAGTGAACACCCCCGCTGCATCCCGATTTGCCCCCCATGCAACCTCCGCGTTCCCCAAAAAATGGGGCGGCGGTGTCTGCCCCGTCAGGGGTGTTCAATGAAATTAATCACGAAATAGGCCACAGCGGGAACGTAATCCCTAAGTGTCGAAGGCGCGGCGTCTGAATACATTGTAAATAGATCACAAGCGAGAGCGCGATTTCTGCGTAAAGTGTACGAAGTTCCCGCGCGAGACCTCGATGTGACAATTACTTGTGAGGAGATATCCAGCGGGAACCGCGCTGTTGTTGTAAACCGACAAACAAGGGCGTAATTATGTGAGACCTCGCTGTCTATGGTCGTTTTTCTATATATATATATATATTATGATAAAATCTGAAAAAAAGTGCTGTTCAGACTCTGGGGCGCCCCCAGACTCTGGGGGTTGGGGGTTGCTCCGACTTTGTCTCTCGTTGTCCGACTGTGTCTCCTCGCTCATACCCCCTGCCTCCTTCTCCTGGTCCTCCTCCCTGTTTCTCTTCCTACTCCCTCTTCGCCTGCTTTTCCCAGTCCTTTTCTTCCTATTCCTCCTTTTCCTCCTCCTCCACCTCAACCTCCTCCTCCTCCTCCTCGCCCCCAGTGCGCCCAGGAGCCTTTCAAGATGGCCCCATGACGGCCCAGGAGGCCCCAAAGACGGCCCCAAGAGGCCTCTAAGACGCCCAAGATGGCCTCCAAGACGGCCCTGAAGCGCCTCAAGAGGACCCCACATCGGTTCAGAGAGGCCCCCAAGACGGCTTCCGACGGCGTCAGACCCGTCAGACGGGCTAGGAACGATTTAAGACTGCCAAGGAGAGGCCCCCAAGACGCCCCCACGGCCCCCAAGAGGCCCGTAGGCGTCTTGGATCCGCCGCCCCCTGTGCTTGCCACAGGGTTGGACGGCGTGCCAGACATTTTGCTGAGATTCTGATTTTCAAACCCTTCCCAGTGGCCTTCGGCCCAGACCGCCTGCCCCTCGGAAGGACCAGAAGGTGTGGCCCACATCGCCACCAAGACGGCCCAAACGGCCCAATATGGTCACCAAGATGCCTCCAAGGCGGCTAGGATCGCTCCAAGAGAGCCCAAGACGGCTCCAATATGTCTCCAAGACGGCCCAAGATGCACCCGAGGCGTCCAAGATGGCCCCA